AGGTACAAGGTGCAGTGGCAGCACATGGGGCAGAAAAGCCATCAATGCAGAAAACTTGCAAACATTAAATATAATTCTCTACACTGTTCATGGGATTTTGAGCAATGCAATCCTCCTTTTTATGTAAGCTAATTATGCATGAAAAATGAAAGAGAGAAAGGCTTGAAAAACGAAAATCCAGACCTGTGTTTATCATCAATGTCTTCATTTCAAATCTGGGTTCTTGAATTTTTCTATCCAAAAAATCCTTCAAAAAATTATCTCTTTACCTTCCCCATCCTACCACCATACCTTTAAACCCATTTGTTGCTATTTAAAGCACAGCAGCCAAAAGATACAGGAGTCCACTTCAGAAACTGACTATCCATTACGTATTACTAACAATCAGGCAATCTGTATAGGATTTTGCACCCAGTGTAAGAAACAAATGTGCTCTTGTTGTGTTGGCAATTGTAATTAATTAACAGTAGAGATGCAGTGTCATGCACTGTATGGTATTTTTTTTTTCTTAGCTACACTTAAGTTATAAGGCCATGGATATATTCAAGAGACAGAGGAGGTTTTAGAAACCAGATATGGTGGTGTTAGTTTTTGATTAAGCTACCAATGAGTATGGTGATTGGTGAACCATGTAAGACAGTACAGGTTGGAGTAGAACTGGTTGGTTTTTAAAACTTAAAAAGAAGAATTATTCATGAATAGAAAACCAAATCTTCATGCAAATGAATCATGCTGTAGGTTAGGTGGTTAAAAGAAAACCTAGCTGGTAGGTGAATTAAAATTTTTACCCTTCATTTTGAAGGTTAGATGGCGCAGCAGGATTGGAACCCTATATATAACATGCCGAGTTTCAAACATTGGACGTATCAACTATCTCTAGTGAAGAAAAAAAGGCCTAGTGAGTAAGAAAAATTTTTTGTTGGTCATCAAGTAAAGACAAAACTTGAGTGATGAGGGTTAGTTTTGTGGGTCATGGGGCGTTTTTTTTTTCTTTTTTTTTTTTCGAGATTATTAAATTTCTCTTGAATTTTTATTGTGCTTGATTGAGCTCAAATAAAACCCGTTAGAATTGGTTTAGATGGTAAAGAGTCAAGAGAACTTCACAAAAATACTAAGTTTGAATCTTTCCATTACCTATTAAACATCAACAATTGCCACGTATCATACTCTTCACACTGTTGTAGAGATTTACAAATTTAGTTTAATTGTCTCACTTATAAGTTATGTTCTCTCAAATTTTCTTTGTCAAAAGCATACATAAATTATGATTGAAATTTTCCTTTCTTTTTTATCAGCCGTAATTGAAAATTTCGTTAGCTATTACTTTATTCAATTCTAGCATTGATTTTTCACCTCTATCAATGTCAGCAGGTTCTTCTTCTTCTGAAAAACAATGGTGACTGTCAATGAAGTCCGCAAGGCTCAGCGGGCAGAGGGCACTGCCACTGTCTTGGCAATTGGCACTGCCAACCCTCCCAACGTGGTCGACCAAAGCTCCTACCCGGACTTCTTTTTCCGAATCACTAATAGTGAGCACAAGACTGAGCTCAAGGAGAAATTTCAGCGCATATGTGCGTTTCCTTGTCAACTGTCAAGCTCTCCAATGTCACTAATCGCAATTTTATTCTTGGATTTTGTTTGATCCACTTCTATCTTTGAAGCTTTTTTTTCTTTTAAAATTTCAGGTGAGGCATCTGGGATCAAGAAGCGTCACATGCACTTGACTGAAGATATCCTTTTGGAGAATCCTAATATTGGTGAATACATGGAGATTTCCCTAAATGCCAGGCAAAATATTATGGTGGTAGAGACACCAAAGTTGGCCAAAGAAGCAGCCCTCAAAGCCATCAAGGAATGGGGACAGCCCATGTCCAAGATCACTCACATGGTGTGCAGCACCTGCAGCGGTATAGAAATACCCGGAATTGATTATCAGCTCATCAAGCTTTTGGGTCTCTACACATCAGTCAATCGCGTCATGATGTATAATACTGGAGGCTTTGGTGGTGGCGCTGTGCTTCGCGTGGCCAAAGACCTGGCAGAGAATAACAAGGGAGCTCGTGTTCTTGTTGTCTGCTCAGAGCTCAACATGGTGTCATTTCATGGCCCTAGCGAAACACACCTGGACAACCTTGTTGGTCAAGCAATCTTTGGTGATGGTGCGGCAGCTGCTATTGTTGGTGCGGATCCAATAACCGAGGTTGAGAAACCCTTGTTCAAATTAGTATCGACAATCCAAACCATCTTGCCAGATAGCGATAGATCTCTTATGGGATACCTCAAAGAAGCAGGGCTTGTGCTCTACCTGAACAAGAATGTCCCTCAGATATTCTCCAACAATATTGAGAAGAGCCTAGTGGAGGCATTCCAGCCTTTAGGTATCACAGATTGGAACTCCATTTTCTGGGTGGCACACCCAGGTAGTCGAGCTATATTGGACCAAGTGGAGGCCAAGTTGGGTCTTAAGCCTGAAAAACTCCTGGCTTCAAGACAAATTTTGGCTGAGTATGGCAACATGTCAAGTGCATCTGTGCTATTCATCATGGATGTGATGAGGAAGAAGTCGGCTGAAAATAGGCTCAAGACTACCGGGGAAGGATTCGAGTGGGGTGTGCTTATGGGGTTTGGAGCTGGCCTCACACTTGAGACAGTAGTCCTCCACAGTGGGGCTATTTAGAAAGCATATCTCTCAAGTACATTTTGGGAATTCAGTAATCCATCTGTCTTTTTCCTTTTTTGGTTTTGTTTTTCTAATAAGCATGGGTCGTCCGATTAAAGTTTGTGGTTATTATGTAACCAGTTCTTCATATGTTGTCCTTTCTGCTTGATCTGTGTATCAGATTGGAATGGTCTTGTGTGTATTGGCAGTGGGTGTGTGACGCTTTCTTCTGACTAATTAATGAAATATTCAAGTTTCCAATATATATATATTTTTTAGGCAAGCCTTTTTTGTTTTTTAGCTTAATCAGAAAATGGCAATTTACGAATTAAAAACCATCCTTAACTTCAAAACCAAAATACTTTTTTTATCGGTAAATAAAGATATTTTTATACGAAAGTAAAATGGAGTAAAAGGGATATTTTTGTACATTACATCTGAATGCCCCTTACAACGCTAAGGAGAAACCACACCCTGTAAATAACAGTCCTAAGCATAATCTATCTCAGTGCAGTTTTTGTTGCTTTACATGATTTTAAAGGAGAAATAAGCCATGTACCAAAAAAAAAAGAAAAAAAAAAAAGGAGAAATAAGCCAAGTTTACTTTGACATTTTAACATATTTTTTACAAAACCAAAATAAAATAATCTTTCTCTCTCTTTTTTACCTTTCATATCTCATCGGGACAGAAATAAAGAACTCTGAATTACAAGACCTTGGTGATGATGGTATGTAATGTGATGGGGCTCTCTGATACGTTTTCTTTATTGCTGAGTTGATTTTGTTTGTTGACGTTGGGCATTGGAGACCTTTAGGATATTCCTATGTGGCTGGTATTTATATGGTTTAGTTTAACAGTATTATGTAGTGGTTGCGGTGGTAAATTTTTAATTTTTTAATATTTTAAAAATATATAATATATATTTAATATTTATGTTAATTAATATTTTATATATATTTAAAATAATAAAAAAAGATTAAAAAAAATCAAAATTTAAAATACCAATAAATATGGTCAAACAAAGCCTTCTTTCTTTTTGTGTTATTCTTTTTCTTATTTCGGCTTTTGTGTGTTGTGTGCCTGTGCCTAATGACCTCCTTCCACGTGTCGTATCTCACCCATAACCCACTAACTTGGTTAATATTTAAATATATATTTTTAATTTATATCTATCTTAAATAATTAAATATTAACATTTAATTTATTTTTTTAATTAAATTTATTTAAATAGCAATAATTTTAAAATTAATGTCAATTTTTATATCTTTTTATATATATTTATGATAAAAAAATATTTTTAATTTGTATCTTAAAAATACAAATTAAAATAATCTTTTCAATATTTATCGTGTATTTAGTATAACTTGAGCAATCATAATAGTTTAATTAAATGTAAATTTTAATTTTTTAACTAAAGAATTTTGCATAAATTTAATTTTTCAATTATTATATATATTTTTTAATCTTTTAACTTAAAAATTACATATTTACAATTCTTCTTAGTTAAAAGTGATAGGGCATGTCAACTTCTCAAAACAAATTAAATTGTAAACTGTTAACCTTATATGGAAATTCAATGTAAGATAAAATGATGATGTGACAAAATTTTTTTAATTAAAATAGTAACATGGTAATGGATCACATTTAAGACGTTGACATCACTAATTTTTTATTAATTAATGAATTAAGTTATTAAAACTAACTAATTAAGTGATATTAACTATATTTTAAACTTTCATTAAAAAATATTTTAATTAACCAATTATTTTCTCTCTCTTCTCACTCTTCCTCCATCGGACGTCACCCTAACCTTCATCGCCATTACTCCATTTATCCATTCAGAAAGAATTTTAGAAGAAATCAACCAATGCTATCATTATCATTAAAATACCAATAAATATGGTCAATCAATTAGTTCTCTTAAAACAAAATTCTCTTAAAACAAAAAAAGAAAAAAGAAAAAAAATCCAATTTCATGATAATCTGCTTACAAGTTCAAACAAACCCAAAAAACTCTGGGTGACGAACCTTACTCTTGGGTTCGATTTAAACCCAAGTTTTGGGTTTGTGACAAACCTAGTTCATTAGGTTCATCACAAATCTAGATGCTAGGCTTGATTTGAACCTAAATCTAGGTTCATCATGAACCCAAGTCATAGGTTTAATTTGAATCCCAATCTGGTTTCGATTTGAACCCAAACATGGGTTCTAGGTAAGCCACGAACTCAAGTCTTGGGTTCATTACAAACCTAAGTTATGGGTTCAATTGAACCCAAGTGCTATCAAGAAGACACTACTAGAAATTGAAGATATTCAAACCAACATAAAAAATATTATTTGGATCATAATTAGTTTAAATATTTATTGATCATGAATGAATGGCAATTTTAATGGGAAAACTTTATTCAGGTCAATAACAATCTAAAAATTGTTGGCCCCATAATAGTGAAAACACACCAAAAATTTTTAGACCAATAGTAGTTTGAATAATGTTATTAAAAAAAAAATTGCTAGACAATTAGTGATATTTATTGCTAGGCCTTTTTGGATACTTCCGAATTGAAATTGGTCTAAAAAATTGCAACACAATTTTTTAAGTAAAATAATATTTAAATACAAGATATTTTTGCAAATATACGGATCGAAACCAGGGTGGAAAATTGTGGCAACAAGCCACACTTTTCGAGACTGATTTTGGTCTGGATAATGTGTAGAATCCAAATCGTTACTGGTCCGAAAAAGGTTACCCAACATACATATGGTTGAGATGCCGTTGGGTCAGCCTTTTTTAGTTTTTTAGACCATTACCGGTCTGGGATATAGCCTTTTCTCACTATTTCAAATTTATCTTATATTTTTTGTATTTTTTAGAAAACTAATAAAATTTAATACTGATTAAGTAAATTGTAAAATATATGTGGTTGTTTACTAGTGAGTATGGTCTAAAATTTTATAGTATAGAAACAATAATAGAAATTTGTATTTTACTTATTTTTACATAAGTAATTTATAATAAATTAATATTATAAAATATGTTGTTAGATATTTTTAATTTTTTGTATAGAATCATTTTATTATTTGTTTGTAAATATTGTGTAAAATTGTATATCATAAAAAATGTATAGAAATTTGTTTTGTATTTATATTTTAAGTAATTAATTTATAATAAACTAATAATATTAATTATAATGTTAATATTAAAAAATATATTTTATATTAGTATTACA